TTGTAAATTAAAAAATTATCTCAGTATGTCGTTAAGGAAGGATTGCCCACACCAATGGCTAACATCTGGCATCTCTAGACAAAGCTTAAGGAAGAAAGAAAAAGAAAGAAAGAAAGAAAGAAAGAAAGGAAGGAAGGAAGGAAGGAAGGAAGGAAGGAAGGAAGGAAGGAAGGAAGGAAGGAAGGAAGGAAGGAAGGGAGAGGAGAGGGAGGGAGGGAGGGAGGGGAGAGGGAGGGAGGGAGAGAGGGAGAAAAGAAGGAAGGATGCTTGCAGTGTCCTGGGGTCATGTGATCCCCTTTTGTGACCCTCTGACAAGCAAAATCAATGGGGAAGTCAGATTCACGTAACAATTGTGTTACTATTTTAACAACTGCAGCGATTCACTTAACAATTGTGACAAAAGAGGCCATAAATGGAGCAAACCTCACTTTACAACTTTCTTGCTTAGCAATGGAAACTTTGTGGTTTCAGTTGTGGTTATAAGTTGAGGATCACCTGTACATCTTTTATGCAATATGGTCTTTTCCCCATCTAATTGAATCCATTTCTCTCTAGTGAGAGCGAACAGGCTACATAGGGCAGGGGTAGGCAACCTTGGCTCTTTTATGACTGGTGGACTTCAACTCCCAGAATTCCCGAGCCAGCCATGCTGAAGGAAAAGGGAGAGGTTTCCAAGCTGAGCCATGCTGGCTCAGGAATTCTGGGAGTTGAAGTCCACGAGTCATAAAAGAGTCAAGATTGCTTACCGCTGACATAGGGGAACAGCAAATCTTTATATGCTTGTCTGAACCATCTATCTTGAATGAACAGAGTTTCAAATCATGTTAAATCTTGTCTGCTTCTGATTGTTTAAAAAGTGCTTCTGCAAACAGGCAACAAGTAGCACATTGACAATCCCTACTTCAACCATCTTCATCCTGAAGGCAGGCTTGCACGCACTTGCTTTTGAGATCAAGAGCCCGACAATTTCGATCACTTTTACTGACAAAGTACATCAGCAAAAAATCAGCAAAATCCCAAAATCAGGTGTCCTCACATAAGGGAAAATCCTACTTGGAGAAGCCAACCACATTTCCCTCATGCCTCTTCTTCTAAAACATGCAGACTGGCCCTTGTGCGACTGTCTTTATTGTGAAATCAAATGCTGCAAATTCCTGAAGCACTGAAACAACTTTACAAAACAGCAATAAAACAGAGGTAAAACAATAACAAACACAAGCTGGACCAGATCTAACTTTACTGTAGTTTTCCAGGCATGGGCACAAATGCCACTGAACACATATTGTATCAAGAAATTATTTCCAAGAGCTAAAAATAACACCGCCAAATAAAGCAAACCTTCTCCCAATGTTCATGGGAGGCAACATCTGCCACAGAAGGCTATAAGTGGTCTTTGATGCTCTTTGAACTTGGTGGTTTCCTTGCAGACGTTTCATTATCCAAACTAGATAAGGTCATCATTGCATAATGTCTACAGAGATTCTCAATCATCCAGATTATGGTTGTCCCAAAGGTGCTTTTTTTCAAAAGGTAATTAGTGCATAGTTTGAGTAATGAAACGTCTGCAATGAAACCACCAAGTTCAGAGAGCATCAAAGACCACTTATAGCCTTCTGTGGCAGATGTTGCCTCCCATAACATTAGGAAAGTTTGTTTTCAGCACCTTGTTGTTGTTGTTGTTGTTGTTAGTTGCAAAGTCATGTCTGACCCATCGTGACCCCATGGACGTTCCTCCAGACCTTCCTGTCCTCTACCATCTTCTGGAGTCCATTTAAGCTCACGGCTACTGCTTCAGTGACTCCATCCAGCCACCTCATTCTCTGTCATCCCATTCTTCTATTGCCCTCAATCTTTCCCAGCATTAGGCTCTTCTCCAGTGAGTCCTTCCTTCTCATTAGGTGGCCAAAGTATTTGAGTTTCAACTTCAGAATCTGGCCTTCTAAAGAGCAGTCGGGGTTGATCTCTTCTAGGACTGACCGGTTTGAATGCCTTGCAGTCCAGGGGACTCGCAGGAGTCTTCTCCAGCACCATAGTTCAAAGGCCTCAATTCTTTGGCACTCAGCCTTTCTTATGGTCCAACTTTCGCAGCCATACATTGCAATTGCACCTAGTAACCCTCATTTCAACCCTGGGCTACAAATATTTGTTACAGTAATCTATACAACTATTCTTGACATACAACAGTTCATTTAACGACCATTCAAAGTTGCACTGAAAAAGGTGACTTATGACACGTTTTTCACACTTACAAACATCTGCAGCATTCCCACTGTCATATTTATGACAGTGGCAGGGTCCCAGAGTCATGTGATCACCTTTGCGACCATCTGACAAGAAAAAGTCAACGAAGAAGCCAGACTCACTTAACAACTGTGGGAAAATCACTTAACAGAGGCAAGAAAGAGGGTAAAATGGGGCAAAACTCCCTTAACAAATGTCTCGCTTAGCAACAGAACTTTTTGGGCTCAACTGTGGCCATAATACGTCGAGGACTACCTGTATTGCAATGGTTCCTGAAATCTTTATTATTATAATTGGATGCCAGGAGAAAAAGACGGCAAATATCTCCAACAATAAAATAATACGGACCGCCTAAGCCCGGCAAGGTAGCCAGAGTGAATAACAAGCTAGCAGGGATCTTCAAACATGGCCCTTTTATGACTTGTGGACTTCAACTCCCAGAATTCCTCAGCCAGTGTGCCTGGCTGAGGAATTCTGGGAATTGAAGTCCACAAGTCATAAAAGGGCCAGGTTTGAAGACCCGTGAGCTAGAGGGTTGATGTCTATGGAAATTCTCAGTCATCCAGGTCATGGTTGTCCCAAAGCAGCTTGATTTATGAACGGATTTCCAGAAAACATTGCAGACTACAGGAACCATTTGCGCTTCAGTTTGAGATGCAGACAACACAGACACATCCCCAACAACCTGTGTGCCTGTCCTCAACAGTGAAGGGACACAGGGCAGAAAATGTCCTGCAGCCAAGGAGGCTACACACCCATTTGCACTACTCAGGGGACCCTGAGAACACAGGTAAAAACCTCCAACAACTCTCTAAAACAGTGTTTCTCAACCTTGACAATTTTAAGGCATGTGGACTTCAACTCCCAGAATTCCACAGCCAGCATTGCTGGCTGTGGAATTCTGGGAGTTGAAGTCCACATGCCTTAAAATTGTCAAGGTTGAGAAACACTGCAGTCTAAAAGAAGGCAAATGACCAGGTGTCTGCAAGGAATATAAATCCTGCCATTCCTCACCATCCAGTCAGAGCCGAAGAAGCTTCTTGGATGAGAAGCCAAACGCCTTCAAAGAAAAAACAAGAAAGTCCAGTTGTCTCCTGAAAAAAAAAACCCCATGACCTGGATGACTGAGAAATCTCCATAGACATTTAGCCAGGCATTTGGGGATGAGCACCCTTTTGAATGGTGTGCCAGTCTGAACGGATTTCCAGAAAACTTTGCCGACTACAGTTCCCCACCAACCAGTCAGAGCTGAAGAAGCTTCTGGGATGAGAAGCGAAACGTCTTCAAAGAAAAAAAAAAAACAAGCTGCCTCGTAGGGTGGGGGGAAGCACCTTTGGGACAAT